TATATATATATATATATATATATATATATATATATATATATATATATATATATATATAAATATATATATATATATATATAGTAATATGTAATAGTTTATAAACTCAGAAAGGTCTTAAAAAATATAGAAATTCAAAATTATACATATTCTTGTTACGCTGGATTGCTTGCATGTTTAAAGCTAATTTTCGATTAGCTATAGTATAGGGGGTGCATGATTGGGAGGCCTGAATGACAGAATATAAAGTATATAAAGTACAATGTTTAAAGTTAAATCCTTAATTTACTTCATATGTATACGTATATATATATACAACTGTATAATATATTTCAGGTTTCTGAGCCCGTTAAAGAGTCTGTTCGGGTTAAGGAAACTGAATCACATGGAATATTGGAGACAAAAAAAAACGAAAACGATAATCAACATAACAAGGTACTTCACACAAGGAATTCCGCACCAAGAGTTGTCCAGCCGCAAGACTCCTTTGTAGATAAACATTCCCACTTGTCCTAACAAAATTTTATCTTTATGCGGGAAAAAGCGAGGGGAGTCATGCTTCTTTTGTCTCCCACCCGCTCTGCCGTTTGTATAGTTAATCTTTTATTCTCCATCTATATATCTGCACTAAGTGGGAGTATTGAATTGTAAGAGGAAGAAAGGTACATATCTCAACTTAAATAACGAAGTAAACCATGCATTACTTGTTAACCGCTATAATCTGTTACTTCAGCGTTTCTATAAATTATTAATTATTGCAATGACTGTTGCCGATGCAAGCCCGTGTCCACGTATTAAGGTGGCTCGCTACAGTTTATAGAAATGTTGAAAATGCGTAAACTAGATCACCTTTTTGAAGAGATGACGTTCTTTACAAAATCGAAATTTGTATATTATATATAGAGCGACAATCAAACAGTCGAAAATTGGTCAGAAAAGTGACGTCACCAATGTTGCTATGGCAACAATGACGATTCAAGATGGCCGATATTTTGGCTTTGAACGCATTTTACTTTAAAAAAAGGTCGGTTACCCCCATTTTTTATTTC